ATTCCCTGTGTTTCCAGTTCCTATCTGTACCAGTGTACATCCTCTGGTCTAGCCAGATTTGTAAGGTAGAATTGAGATCATGATAGTGGGGGGCAGGAAGCATTTAATAACTAGAGGAAAGTTATATGTTTCATCGTTACTACACTGCACCCTGACTCGCTCGTCTCCTCCCCAAGACCCTTCTATAAGGGAATGTCCAGTTGCTGGAGAAGAAAGTCCTGTCTTTCCCCCAAGCTTGTGGTTTTGAACTGATGACCATGCAGATCACGGCTCAATGTGTCACCACTACACCACGATGGCTCCTGAGGCGGCCTTCAATCCTTATGTAGCCCACGGCTTACCATACTGTCTCTGCTACTTGTGGGTGCACACACAGAGGACCAACCCTTCCCTCTAGATCCGCTGGGTGGGACCACTCTCTTTAGTGGCCAGGTTTCCATTTAGGCGGGACGCCCCATTAGGCAGAGACCCAACACGAACAAAGGCTGTTACCTCCTCCGGAGCTCATCTTGACTATGATCAGGCCTTCCCCAGAGCCCAGTTTGTCAGCAACTGCACTGATGACCTCCTTCACCGAGGCCCCAACCGGCACCCGGATGGTTGTGTAGGTGTGGTCCATGCAGTAGACCTTGAAGAGAACTATTGAGAAAGCAGCGGCAAAGTTAATCTTGGGGGTCCCTAAGACAACTACAAACTACGCAAGAATGTTTCGACATTCCCACCCCCAGCTCTGCATCATCTGGCCAGATGTATTTATTTGCATACAAAGTAGATTTGGTTATAGATCTTACTGGAGGAATTTATTGGCACATGTGTTCCTGTGCCTGCCCCCTTCTATGCCTCGATGAGCTTAGCATTGGTCTAGGAAAAGGTACCGGCACGGTTGTCATCCCCAGTCACCAAACAAAACAGTAATGTGAATAGCCCATCAATGAGTCCTGGGAACAACATGACATGTGTCTTTTGGCCCATGTTCTGGGTCTGTCCTTTTCTCCAGCCTTACTTTGTTACATCCCGCTTGTGCTGGGGGCAACGGAGCAGAGGACAGCTACTCGTGCATGGAAGCCAACACAAACAGCAGTGTGGCCGCCTGGGGCCCGTTAACGTAGGCTAACAGTCCTGCTCATTTGCTTTGCTGCTTTGTAAACTTTGGTATCAGGCCACATAGCACAGTGTTTAGTGCAGCAGGCTCATCTTCGAAGAAACCTATCCTGGAAGCGACCCTAGCTATTGATGTGCTTGGACTGAGAGGCACCTGGAAGTTGCTAAGTGCAGTTTGTGGCTCGGAATTTGTGGTTGGAAATCTGCACCATCTTTATCATTATGCTCACTTTACAACTTGGGCTAACAGTTCATTCTCGGGCGAGATCTTAAACCACCAAGCCAATAATCGGCAGCATTTCTATGTCCTTCCCACCAGTTCTTCCCATAACAAACAGCACACCCTTGACAACTAGACCATGAGGTGACCCGTCCAGGCAAAGTGCCAGTTGGGGAGAGGCAGAACCAGGAGTTTGGGACCAGTATGTAGACACCAGGCACAGAGCTCCAGGACAGGTACAGTAGGAGTACCAACGGGCACCCGTGAGCCACCCACTTGTGAGTTCCCTTGTGGGTTCAAATCATCGACAAACCACGAGTTGGAAAAGAGTTTGCACCTTCATCGGAGCCCCGGATGGGCTGGCGTTTCTGGGCTCTCTCGTCGCCTGTGTTGAACTGTTGCAGGAGAACCTTGTGCTGTAAGAAGAATCACAACAGGCACTGCCATCAGGGAGCATGAGCACCTCAGAGGCCACACACCCGAGAAGCAACCCGAGTCCCAGCAGGACGACCCTGTTATTTGTATTTACAATAAGTACATAGAGACTGCGGGGTACAGGCAATGGAAGGATCCGTATCCAAGTCACTTACCTTCTTTTGTGGCGCCTTTGCCTCTTCTAAGCTGTGAGAAGTAGAGAGAGTACATTATTTAACGCATAAAAACAAACCAAATTCACTGCCATCCAGTCGGGGCTGACGCAGAGCGGCCCCTGTGGGTTTTCAAGTCTGTCACTCTTCACAGGAACAGAAAGCCTCATTTGTCTTCCTTGGAGTGGCTGGGTGGTTTCCAACTGCTGACCTTGTGGATCACAGCCCAACTCGTAACCACGACGCCACCAGGGCTCCATTCCATACACTGGGTGCTGTTACTTTAAATGGCTTCATTGGCAATGAAGTCCAAGTCTATGTTAATCAAGGAAGCCACAGCAGCCCTTCAGGAGGCCATAGGAGCCCCACCTTGTTTTAGAATTCAGAGACCAACTGAGGGACAGACAACCAGGAGATTGGTCCTGGTCACCGTTTTGTAATGACAGTTCCTGTCAGAAGGGATGTTCAGGGCCAGGCCCCCTCATTTTCCAAGTCTATCTGGTAGCTCATATACTCTACCTGATCTCACTCACAGTGCCCACGACAGCATCTGAGAAACCCCTATGCTCTACACAAGAGGAGACAAGTAAGACTTTCACCCTGAACAGCCTGGGCAGCAAAAAGTGAATCTTTCACAGAAGAAGCTGCCGTCCAACTCCCATGAAAACCACTGACCCATTAATTACTGGAGGTACTACTTTGAACCAAAGAGCCTGAAATGGTTGAGCTGGCATCCCCGGAAGACGCTGTTTAGGCAGAATGAAGGCAGCAGAACCTTGGCTCTTCTGCTCACCTGGCCTCCTGGCACCACCTATTCCCCAGTCCTGGCAGCTCAAACCAGAACGCCGTGTGGCTATCAAAAACCCATCTTTACCCTTTTCGTGGACAAAGGATTTTTTTTTCTTTTTTGTTTATGGGTGGACGTTTTAGTTAGGAAGCAGGCACTCACTTGATGCACAGCAAACCTCCCCCCCCCCACCTCCCGGAGCCAAACCCTTTCTTACATTTGCTTGACAATCTTCTCCAGCTCTGGCAGCTGCTCCTTGAGGGCAGCGATCATCCGGGCATCGTCTGATACAGACACATAAAACTCCTGTAATGGGCAAAGGTCACTGGCTTTTCGCAAGAACAACAAAAGGCGCAGGCTTCTGCAAGAGCCTAAAGAGGCATGGCCCTGCTTCATCAGCCTCTTTAGGCCCTGGCTCACAGACCCGAGGGGGATCAAGAAGAAAAGAAAAAATGACAGCCTGCTGATCTGCAGTGGTGCCAACGAATGGCTCTTCAGAGGGCATTTACGGGAGAGGCAAAGGCCTGCCGATACTGGCTCTGAGCTTTCAGTCTATACTCTGAGAGCACTTCTTCCCCCTTGATTTTGTTTGTCTGTTTCAGGAACATTTTGGTATTTATTTCAAATATGACTTTCGCACTTATTTTTCACGTCATATTCGCTGTGGGTTGTGGTTACCAGTTGGTGGCAAAAACGCAGGCTCAGTCCTCAGCGCCGTAGCCTGGATCCGTGCTGAGTTTGGGCCGCCCATCAGGCCTCCTTGCTGACCTCCGGGCGTCAGTCCCTGCCAGCCCGCCCGCAGCAGCAATGGCGTTGGCTTGGCTCGGGAACCATGCTCTCCACCGTAGGCTAAGAGCTGGGGCCCGGGCCAGCTAAACCACCACTCTGTGAAATTATCTGCCAGTTGCTCCTCTACTCAGCAGGTGATGGCCATGCATCAACTTAAGAACCCACGTTACTATTCGAGGGGTTCCCTGTACATTTTCAAAATACACCATCATTCTGCATCTTTAGGGGATCTCACAGCCCTCCCTTCCTCCCTGTCACCTCCCACCCACTTGGGGAATTTGCTTCTTGGAGATAATTCCCTTGAGAAGACAGATTGGTGGAGTTTAAAATGGAAGCAGCATTGCCTTTTGCACACAAAGGGGGGGATGCTTCTGAGTACGACACTACGTCTCGGAGGGGCCAGGTGGGTCATGAGGGTCAAAGCCATGGTCAATGCTGTCCTGCGGGGCGGCTGGAGTCACGGGCAGGAAAAGGGAAGGACATGTAGTGTGAAGCAGTGTGAGCAAAGACAACTGTGTCCCTTCATGACCACCCCCACGGGCCTCTTTCTGTTCTGAAAAATCCTCCAGAAAATGGTCTCTCCACACCCCTCAAGAACGCCTACCATCAGAGCTAGGGATCCCACTTCCAGGCATGCAACTACGGGCAGAACTTCTTCACAAGACTGTTCATCATTCTCGGAAGGTCAACACTGGAAATGATGAGAATAGCCACCACGAGGGAACCAACAAATATAACTGTGGCCTCGCTTACTCGGTGGCCATCTGGAAGTCTTATTACAAAGCTGAACACACAGGGGGAAATAAAAGATCCGCTATGCAGTTGAGTGAGGAAGTCAGCCCGCACAATGGCGAGCAAGCGCCGTGTGATTACAACGGGGCGGAAGGGTATGGAGGGAAAGAGACCAGATGCAAAGACATTAGCAGGCACCCTCCACTACGGAATTAGAGGAGCAGGAGAATGGACTTTCCAACGAATGACCACGGTAGCCAGGACCAGCGTTTGCCACAAGGTCTCTCCAAGGGAGCTGGTCTGCCTCTTGGTAGGGGCCCCTTACACCACAGAGACAAGCCGGGAAGAGATGAGTCCACGTACCTCCAGGAAAGCCACGGCCACGTCATCCTCCTGTAACAGGTCTCCGTGCACGGCGGCCCACTGCAGAACCAGGCGGATGACCCGTCTCTTGTTGTTCAGGGCATAGTCCATTTTCTCCTGTTGTGTACCTTGGGAAGGCTGAGCATGGTAAGTGCCAAGGAGTCAAGGAAGGCGCGTGGCCATGTCAAACGTATTTCACTATGCTGCTTGCAAAGGCAGAGAAGGACAGAGCCCAGTTTCAGGAAGCCAGCCTCTGACACCAGAACACTAAGTCCCTCAGAGAGGTCTCACTTGGCCAGGCCCGCGCGCATGCAAATCCTTGTTGAGGATTGGACTTGCTGTCACCAGCTCAACTTAGATTTGTGTGGCGACGGACTGCTGTGACCTCTCGCCAGCTCTCTCCGGCTTTCAGCACCTTCCCTGCCCACCCTCCCTGGTGCTGCAGTTCTAGGGTGGCAGCGCTTTCTGCTGTTGCTCATCTCTGGGTGCCTCACCGCCTCTGGTCGGTCTTGCAGCCCTGCTCACGTCTCTGTAAGCTCCTACTGAACTTCAGTCCAGTGAAAGCCTTCGGGCAGACATCAAGTTTCTCCCAAGACCAGGACTGGTATGAAGAGGACATAAGTGGGGCATTGGGGACAAAGGTAGATGGATTCCTAAAGTAACAGGAAGAAGAACGGATTGCTCGTGCCACCAATTGTGGTAGATATGGATTATGTCAAGTGGACACTCCCGGCTAGGAGTGGAGTCAACCCTGTCAATCAAGTTGCAGCCTGATGACACCTCCTTGATGTCATGAGCCCTTTGTATGAGAGTAAGGGATTCTGGGAACTGCCTCTCTCTCTGCCTCTCCCACTTCCTGCCTGCTGGAGCTCTGCCTGCCTTGAGGGGGGCCCCACATGGGCTGCCCAACCCTGAGAGCTGTGAGTGCCCCGCCATATTCCCACCAACTTCGGATCTGTGCAACTCTGCACCCACTGGCCCATGATCCCCCTGCTTCCTGCGTCACCAGCATGCTGCTACTGATGCGTCATGCACCAGCATGCTGAATCCGAAGAGGGACTTCGGGACTGGCATTGGACGTAGGAACTTGAATTGGACTGAGCTGGGTGCTTTCTTGATAGCAAGCTTTCTTGTACATAGATAAGTGTCACTGGATTTGTTTCTCTGTTTGAGGGCCTAAGACACATGTTTTGCATCCCTTAGTTAATTAACGAAGCTATCAACTCTTTGGGACCCGGAATGCTTTTCTTTTTATTGACTCTGTACAGTGGCTTTTGCCTAGAAATTTTAGTAGTTCGGTCACACAGCAGATGCTACTGAGAGCCTGCTGTATATCAGGTAAACGGCCTTGGCCCAGCTTTGAACAAGAACAGGAAAAGATGAAGGGCAATAAAGATATCCCTCTACTTAATCTGCTTCCCTAGGCTCTCCAAGGCAACAACTACGAGGATGCCACAGGACTGGGCAGTGTTTTGTTCTGCTGTGCACAGGGTCGCTATGAGTCGGAACGGTTTTGATGGCACCTAACGACAACAACACCGATAGCTCTCAGAGAAAAACAAATACTCCCCTATGCAGTACAGTAGGGAAAACATAGTCAGGGATCCTGAGATAATTTGGATTCAACATAACATCCCTCTTTCAGTGATTTCAAATAGTTCCTGTTACAAAGACCGTATTACACAACTTACATTGTAACTTATACCCTGTACATGAAGGACTTCATTTACGCTTGACTTTACAGCTGTAAAACCAAAAAGCCTAGTCCTCTTTCTGTAAGGCAGAACACGGCTGCTTCCAACAGTTGCTTCCAAGTGACCTGGCCACGGACAGGAACGGCAGGGTTAGTGTCGGACCCACAGCATGATTCCAGCTTTCTTTCTTCCCGTAACACAGCTCTACCTGCCTCCCGGGTGGCTGCAAGACTGCCCTGCCCACGTCCGCCGGCGGACTCGGAACGCTGGAAAACTGGCCCGCAGCAGGGCTGGGCTTGAGAGAGAGCCCAGGACAGTCCCCTTGCCAGAGGGACTATAAATCACCGCCATCGAAGTAAATGACAAAACCTTCGAGCAGAGGTTGACTGCATGCAAATGGGTTGAAAATGGCTTTCATCAATTGAGCACAGGATTCATAAAAAAGAAAATTGCTCAACCCGTCTTGCCACAATTCTCTGAGCTTATAATAAAAAACGAGGGAAGAAAGATCACTTGAGATAAAAATGATTTCTTTTCCGATTAACCCTTGGGTCTCTCGCTCCTATGCATCCATCATTCAGTTTTGCTTTCCAAAGGCTCGCAGTTCTGGGCAACGATGTTTGACAGCTGCTCCATGTGCCCCTCCAGCACATGGGACTTTCTAAGGCCCACTGTCTTCCATCCGTCCCGGCTCACAGCCAGCCCGTCTGACTAAGTAGAACCGCTCCGGGGGTGCCTGAGACCAGGAACCTTCCTGGGAGCAGAGCGCCACATCTGTCTTGTCGAGTGGCTGACTAGTTTAAACCTCTCACCTTGTTGTTAGCGGCCCACGCTTAATCCATCAAGCCACCAGGGATCCTTATCAAGCACATAACCCAAACAACACCCCACAGCTCCACTGCCCTTCGCTGATACTGATTCACAGGAATCCCACAAAGGGCTTCCAAGGATGTACATCTTCAGGGGTGCAGAAAGCCCCAGCTTTCTCCCTCAGAGAGGCTTGTGGTTTCAAACTGCCGACCTAGCGGCTCACAGCCCAACGCATAAGCACTACAGCACCAGGGCTCCTGACACAGAGGATCGAGTAACGGAAATAAACAAACTGTGACGGATCGAACAATGACTACGGGTTCTCCTAAAGGACTGAGTTCTAGTCCTTTTGCAGGCACGACGTTAGAACAGGCGTGTAGCCTCTGTGGATCTGCCCCTTTCCTCGCCTGGGAAATACGGACAGGAAGAAACCATCTCCAAAGCCTCTCTTAGCTCACTCACTGCCACTCAGTCAATTCGGACTCCTAGTGACTCTACAGGGCAGGGTCGAACTGCCTCTGTGGGTTTCTGAGACTCTTTACAGGAGTAGAAAGCACTTTCTCCCCAAGGTGTGGCTCGTGGTTTTGAACTGCTGGCTTTGAGGATTACAGCCCAGAAAGTAACCACTAAGCCACACTCATAAACAAAGCAATGGGACTGGTGAGATCTGTATGGAGTCTGTCCATCGGAGGTGTTTAAAGCCCCTTGCTTATGGTACCCACTCCTTGACTCCCCTGGGGACCACATGCCCATGCCCTGACTCCACTGGGGACCGCATGCCCACCACATGCCAGGTCCTTCCCTGTATTTGGTCTTAGCTTCTTCCTTTTGTCCACTTTTCCAGAGCTAAGCCGTGGTGTCCTGAAGTCTGAGTAAGACAGGCCCAACGACTGCCTGTCCAACAACCCTGTGCTGTGAAAAATGTACAGAGTTAATTTTCGATCCCATCACACCGATTTCAAAAGAATGTCACTTTGTGCCCCTGAGCTACTACATAAACTAGGAAATTAGACAGTTTTTCAAGACACATTTCGGCAGAGCCTGTGTGCATTCTGAATCACTCAAATTTGGTAATATCATGTAGACGAAATGTGAGTTTTTACAGATGAGGCTCTCTGCTGTCGTAAAGATTCCCAGCCTCGGAAGCCCACAAGGGCAGCTCCTCTCTGCCTAGCAGGCCCCGGTGAGTCAGAATTGGCTTAATGGCAGTGAGTTTGGTTTGGTACTGAGCTAGTATTTGCAGCAGTGCACTCTTAGCCTAAATCTAAGGACAGGAAGGTCAATGTACTGACATGATTTTAAAGCAGTTGGTGGTATTTTCAAAGAAAATATACCAAAGTGCTTTAGAACTACTCTGGGTAAATATATCATTCAATTCCGTTCACTAAATCTTAAGGGACCATGTTGAGTCAAGTAGTAGCTAGGCATGCTGGGCCAATGGGCATAGTCCTCACCCAATGGAAAGATTATGCTGATATGTGTTTGTGTTGAGAAGTGGGGGGGGGAGGAAGGGAGAGAGAAATTCCTTCTCATTTGTTCACGACTGGAAAGGTTGGTTTGGAATATCAGGTGAGGTATGCTCACATGACCTACAAACCTGAGGAGAATTTACTTACAGATGAGATGACTGAGGTCCACAGAGAAGAAGTCTGTCGAAAGTTTTCAGTGAGTAAATGGCAGGACCTTTTCCACTTTCACCCCTCGGCCCATCTTTAGACAGTAACAACAACCTTCACTGCCTTCAAGCCTATTCTCACGACAGGACAGGGGAGAACTGCCCTGTGGGTTTCCAAGGCTGTAACTCTTTCCAGGAATAGAAATCCTCTTCTTTCTTCCAAGGAGCGGCTGGTGGTTTCGAACTGCTGACCTTGCAGGTAGCGGCCCCACTTGTCACCACTATGCCACCTGGGCTCCAGATGTTCCCATGGAGTGGCAAGTGGGCTTGAACTGCTGGCCCTGTGGTCACTACTCTGTTGAGCCCCTAGGTCAGAGAATCAGGGAGCTGCGGGAGCCCTTTGATCCTATCTCATTCAGCTCTGCCAGGGGAGGAAACTGAGGCTGGAGGAGGGTAAGCCATTTCCCCAAACTTACCAGTGGACTTGTGGGGACTCGAACTCAGTTTTCTTACCTCCTTCCTTTGTGTTCTAGCTGTGTCTCCGCTGGTGTGCTCGGCTTGATGTTAAAATTAAATTCCACCCCCCCAACATGTATAAGGTAGCAGAACCAGATGATTTAGGAGTGTGCTGGATAATGGGGGAAGACCCGCTGAGATGTGAAATGGGCCCACAGAAGGTCCATGGAGTAGACAAAGCACGTGCAGATCAACAAGTGTGCCCTGCTGCAGCCATGGGAAGCTGGTGGCCAGGGATCTGTTTACTGGCCAGAGCAGATGCTTTCTTCTGCAGGGTTAACCCTTCCTCTCTGAGGCCTGCTGGTTTAGAAAGTAGTGGCTCAGCCCTATGTAAATCCCACAGGCCATTCAAATTCTAATTAGCGGCTCCTCTTGACTAGCCCCCAGAGAGCCTCGCCTTAGGCTTCTTAGGGGCAGGAACTGGGTCTTCTGCTCCTTTTGAATCTCCATCTCCTAGCAAAGGATTGAGCATACCAAACACCAAATGCCGCAACTGTCTGTTGATAGACTGGTGTG